TCTTCACTCCCAGAGAGGGAGATCCCAAGACAGGAAACCTAGGCTGTCTGAGTAATACTGTCTCTCCTGAAAACTCAAACACACATTGAATTCTATATAGACAGGGTTCATGCTCAGGGTTTTTGCAATGACAGTGGTGACATACACACACGTATGTGCACATTAGGATAAGGCCTACATTTGGTATTGCAGATTACAGATATTTCTAGTAGGATACAACATTTAACTGGCAAATGCCATCTTATAAATTCAAATAAATGTAAAGTATTCATTTGTTTATTGTAGCCATTTTGTTATCATAGATTAAAACACTGAACAATTTGATTAAAACAAACACTATCGCATTTAAATGATATTCATACTGGGGAATCTGATGAAAATGTCACACCGGAATCAATCAAGGTAAAAGGCATCCTAGATGCATTCAAAATATGGATCAATGTCTCGACAAAGGCGAAATCAGATATTGGATGTATTTAAAGTTTAAAAGCAGAACACTCACTACTGGATATCTGATGTTTGATAAATGACAAACATACACACTGGGATCATTTTGATAATACTTCCTGAGTTTATACACAATCTATTTATTCTTACTTTAATTCTCATTTTCTCTAAAGATCAAGTTAAAATATGTCAATACAAATATATAGTATATGTACAAGAGCCAACAAGTTAATGAGGGCAAATTTGTAACACCGAACCTTGACTGAATCATCATTGTCACTGACTGAATCAGCAGCGTTTAGCTGTGGTAGAAGGTTTAGCTATATATGCAGTGAGGTAGTGGCTGTGAGAGGGGGATGGGGGACGGTAGCAGAGAGTCAGGTGTTTAGAGACAACAGTTCATGTTACTGTAGTGTGTTTTTTTAGACAGGCCAGGAGACATGTGTCAAGGCAGATCAGAGTTTTGGTTGTGGAAATATTCAAATGAAAACATATTTGCATTGGTCAAACAAAACATTATTGGGTGGAGTCTAAACTATTCTAACCAGGTATTCTCACATTCTTACTGGTTTCAATCAGTGTAGATCATATTCCAGTTTTATGTAATATTTCCTTCGGTTATGCTTTTTAGGAAATGTTCGACCCGCTCTCATCCAAGGTCATCCAATATAGACGCCTATATTCAGCCTATAAAGGAACATTTAATTTAATTACCTTCAGTTTTTCTCCAAAATTTTTAATCACCAAATTTGTACAGGAAGATGTTTGTAAATGTCTTAGCGATAAAGGTTTTTTTTTCTTGTGTAAATCTCTTCATCGTGGGGACTTACCTGCAAGTTAGTGACAGATTAATGTCTAATGTTAATCATTTAACTTTATGGTTAATACTACAATTACTACAGAGTTGTCTGTGAGTGTGCATTAGTAAAGACATCTGATATTCACTTGCTGACCACCGGATGAAGCTGTACTTGTCAGTGAGCTTTGAAAAGTCTATTTTTTAGCTTATTTTGTATCAGCATTTGTATGACAGTTGTGTGTCATTCAGGAGATCTTAAGTTAATGTCTCTATGATACTGCAGACATGTAGTGTGTAAGAGCTGGACACCGGTTTGAGTTGGACACTTGACATGTCTGTGTGTGTTAACTGTAGAGAGACCAGTTAGGAATGTCCAACTAACTTCTCCCACACACTTCTGTTCTGGGTTAAAGCCAATAAAGCTGCAAATATTTAAGGACTTAATATCAGTTTTTCGTCGAGTACACTCTTGGAGGAGTGTACTTTCTTTCTGGTGTATTGGATGACGTTGAGAGTAAATTACTTTTGGGGGTGCGGCATAGTAGGGGTCTGGCACTCAGCACCTTGATATGTAAAGTGTACAAGCAACATGAGACAGTCTATCCTCCACCATCCAAACCATCCGTGCTCAAAATACAGGTGGATCAGTCAATAAATGACATTACAAGTGGAAGGAGGACTACATCTGTTTTAGAAAATGTCTTTGAGCTGTGACAATCCACTTCACTTCAATTAAAATGGCAGATGCAGTGATGGATTAATTACGGACAGACCACTGGGATTAGCCAGTTTGCTAGGTTTTCTACTTAACAAGTTAGCAGTATGTTAGAAGTGGGTGGGGGAAATTATCACATGCTAACAGAAATCGTGAAATATTATCTTAAAAAACATAAACATACTTACAGACAGACACATAGTTCCTATGCTAAGACTGACTGACATGATGTGCATTCTTTTTGGAAATATGACTCAGCATAGTCTCTTGAAGTCTGGGATACAGCTTTTTCCCATGGTCTAATGTTAAAACAGCAAACAGAAATTGCAATACATGGTGATATTGAATCACAATAGTTAGTAAAATGATCAGTCTGTAGGATTTAGTGGCATGTAGGGGTGATGTTTTCAAGCAACTGAAAACTACTGGCGTCCTGGGAATGAGAATAGGCTTTGAAGTGTGTAGGAAAAACTATGGTGGCCACGAAAGGCCCTACAGTCAGTGTTTGGTTTTTCTGGACAAGGCTACTGTAGAAACATGGCAGTTCGACATGGCTGACTCCATGGAAGGTGACCTGCAACATCTATAGATATAAAGGGCTCATTCTAAGTTACAATAATACAACGCTTCTTTTATTCAGGTGATTATACACTAATTAAAAATAGTTATGTGTATTATATTCCATTTGTACCAGTAAATCCTCCTTAATGTTATACACTAAACCTTTAAGCATCGTAATACCTAATGAATTTGCACCCATGTATCCAATCAGGAGATAAGCACAGGGGAAAGGAGGAGTGGTAGGGTTTGTAGCACACTTTGCTGACTCAAATAGAAAAGTTGTAGCTTTAACAACTTCAGATCAGTGCTCACTTTACTTCATGACTCAAATTAATTTGTGGAGGATCATTTGATTCTCTGCGGTGCAGTAAAGTGTATTGGATGACGTTGGGAATGTATGACGTCAGGGGCTCAGTTTAAATCAGATCCAGACTGTGCTCACACTGTGAACTATTAAGTGTGTATGATCATATTAGTGCTTTCCTGTGCACACAGGGCAGAGACACTGTGTGTGTGTACAAATGTATAAGTGCACACATGTGTATTTGAACAAGTGAAAATGAGAGTGTGTTTATGTGCACAGCTTGTCTCCAGGTTTGCGTTTCTCCTGCCACGTCGGCCCTATTGGCCACGGTCTATATTTAGAGAGGAGGTCGTAGCCAAACAGCATGGGAGACGCTTCAGAGAGACGTGAGCCTGGAAGGAGGTCAGCGTGGTGACTGAGATGTGCTGTGAGCAGGATAACAAGAACTGAACCGGTGGTAACGTTAATGGAGGGAGAGGGGGTCGAAAACCACAAGTCAGAGCAAATCAAACAGTCTTTTCAACATTTGTAACTCTATTTACCTTGGTGAACTTCAGTGTCATACAACCATCCCAAAAGACCATAAAAAACAATTGACCTGTCACAAGTAATGCAAGAGGATTCAACTCTACATATAACGTGATAATATTGCCACGTCTGCTCTTTATGCTGACTTCAGATGCTGTCGGAAATATCAGAATTATAACTTGAGCATTCATGGCTCATATAAAGAAGAAGGTGAAAGGGCCGTGCTGGTGTTCTGGCAGTCTAAGTATGTACTGTATCATATAACAGCATGTAACATGCAACTGCAACATCCTGAGTTCAAATTTAGCTAGGACCTTTGTTGTTATTGTATGTCTAGCCCTCTTTCCCTCATCTCATATCCTGCTGCTGTTCACAGTGGACTGTCTTATAAAAGGGGGAAATGGCTCAAAGTTAATGTCCACAAGAAGGCTATAATGCGAGAAGAGTTGGAATTTCCTAAGATGAAGTAGCTGTATTTCTTTTTATGAGCAGAGAGCGTATGACAACTGTTATAGAAAAATGACCGCTGTTTCTTTTTTATATCATAGTTTGAGTTTAAATTGGTAATTTATCAACTTTGTTAAAATATATAATAAATCTAAGCCTAAAGATAAAATAAAAAGCAGTGATTGTAGTGTTGGGCTGTTTGGACAATATATTGACTGTGATCCTCAAGACTGGTATTTGACAAAGAATGTGTTCACACCCAGTTTGTTTTCTTTGGTCCAAATCATGACAGTAAATGATCTACTGTTGCACCTTTGGTGTAGCCTGTTAGGATTAACTCTGCCTTATTACAAAGGAAAACATTGGGTTCCCTCCAAAACCCGACCGGCAGGGTGCCAGTCTGAACCAGTTGGCATTCATTTCCACTCCATTTAAATTCGGCCCCCGAAGCAGCAGCACTGTGCTGCACATATGTACACAAACTACCACCATTACTAATCTTTAAAGCAACATTATATAACTATTGTACCTTATAATAACAGCTATACTATCATAATAGGGAGAATGGTCCCTTTGTCATTCCCACTAGGAGCCCCAAACACCTTTGCTCGCACTACGTGACTCTGGTGTCCGAGTACAGAGAAGTGCATAACGCTTTACAGCAGAAAGTCACGCATGACAACTACGCCACTGATTTTGGTAAAACTGAATCATATTCTATAGACATTTTTTTTTCTGGTTTACATGGCTCTTGGTCCAAAAAGCAAAGCAAAAGCAGTAGTGGCCAAAAATTGGTAGTAGTCCAATTTTTTATTCCGAAAGTTTAAAAAATAAAGTTCGGAGTTCACCAGAATTCTTGCAATTTCACATTTGCCTCATTCGTGTAGCAGAATTTGCATCTATAATCTCATTTTGCAGAAACCTAGCTCCGATTTCGATGTGAACGCGCCATTTCTTAGCTGCCTTTACCTAATTAGCTCAGTTAGCCAGCCTGGGAGCTCATCAGCACACTGGGGGAGTGTTGGTGTTTACACTTCTAACACAGGAGCTTTGGAATGCTGGGATAACGAGATTGTGGGGTCATTTTTATGACAAGGTGTAAAATGTTCATAAAAACAGTTTTTGAGGATGCAGCGACTGTGAGCTGAGAACGTGTTGAGAGTGTAGAATAAGAGAGAGAAATGAAACCTGAGAGAGGATGACATTAAATATTCATGTCATGTTTAATAATAAAATGAAGTCATTCATACTCAATCGATTCAGTTCAAAAAAGTTGCAGAGATGGTTCACCTTCCATTCAGGCACAGAAAAGCACTTTGTTCTAACATGAGAAAAACACTGAAGGTAAAAACATGGCAGCGTCTCACGCTTTTGGCTGATGTAAAACTGAGTACCCTCTACTCCACTCTAAATCTTTACAATATTTTCTAGTTGTATGTGATTGTCAAGCTATTTCTAAAGTGTAGCACCTACCTTACACTTGATTTAAAATATTTCATATATACTCTTATTATAAAGTACTGTATGTCTGCAATATGATGCATGTGACATCGAATAATGATAATAATAAGTTGTGTTCATCATTGCGCTTATGTCCTGACATAGATAATAATATATAGTGTGAAGTAAATTAAAAATAAATCTAAGTGTGTTTTATACCATTACAAAATTAGAGCCCTGTCACGTGACTATGTAATAAATGTGTTTCTAATAAATTATAGAAGCCATTATTATCTAAATCTTAGTGGCAATTGATGAATAACAAGACAACAAAACATCCAGCGTATACTGTAGAAAGACAGCTCTGCAGACAGGAAGGCATTTTAGGACAAACATAATATTGCTTTCTTCACACATCACTGAGAAAAAAAGAATTTCTTGAACGAGGTTCTCAGATTGGAGGTCAATAAACCGTCCTGTACATTCAGTGTAGTTTTTTTTTTGAGGATGTTGATGGTTGTCTTGTTACCTGAGCAGGGCTGTGATCAGACAGATGAAAGTAATCAAAGCCCAGATGCAGTAAAAGTGTTTTGGGCACAACTACAGAATTTAAGTTTTTGTTCTAAAGTTAACATAGTAAAGTAAAAAAGTAAAGCTAGCATATATTTTCTGTACATCCAGTCCTCTAGGCCTATTTTTTACTGAAATAAAGGTTAATTAGTTAATAGTTTAAATTTTTAGGAGTAGTCCATAAGGATAGGGTGAATAAATTAACGAGCCAATGTGTTAAAATGTTGGTACAGTTCAGGTTAACGACAATTTTGGCTAGCTTAACAAACGTTGACTTAAATAGCTTCTTTTATTGGCTACACTGTTTAAAGGAGCAGTGTGTAGGATTTAGTGCCATCTAGCGGTGAAATTGCAGATTGCCACTAACGAGCACTGCTGGCGTCTGTATTTAACGACCTGGGAATGAACACAGACTGTGAAGTGTGTAGGAGAAAATACGGTGGCCATGAATCTCGCGAAGAATTTCAATCTACAGTCAGTGCTTGTTTGTCTGTTCTGGGCTACTGTAGAAACATGGTGGTTTAACACAGCGGACTCCATCAAAAGCAAACAGCATACCTATGAATATTATATTGCATTTCTGCCTGCTAAATGTTACACACTGGACCTTTAAAACTGTGTTTTTGTCAAGTATTGTTTGACAATGAGTTTATATCAAAGGTCTAACCTGTTTTTAGAAAAATACTTTTTCATTTATTGAATGAACTAACAGTACATTTCCTCCACAACCTGCAGCATGAGTAGTAAGACAATACAGGACTGTTTCCCAAACACATCTGAGCATTAAGATAACCATATTTGATAAGAGTAAAAGGGATATTTCTCTGCAACGTGGCATTATTGCTATTAACAATATTCTGTCAGATTATGGTGTTCTTATCAATGGTTATTCTTAATATATTATATGTTGTATGTATATCTGGAGTTTGTAACGAAAGTAATTTCCCCCTGGGATTATTAAAGTATTTTTAATTGTTATTCTGATTCTGATTAATGATTCCTATAAGTTCACAGAAAAAGCAATCTCTTTGCTAAGACATCTTTGGGAAACAGCACCGCCCCTCTGCACCCTCCCTCCTCACAAACAGAAAGGGCAGATAAAGTGCAACACCACCTCTGGCCCACTAACTGCTGCCATCCTTCTGAGGGAGACACCTCCGCCAGGGGCTGTAAGGCAGCGCCAGCAGCAGGAAAAGGATCCCACCCACGATGAGGACGGCCCCTGCACAGCCGATACACGACACTGACCAGGAGAGCTCGTGGTGGAGAGGAATCGTGTGGTCGCTGGCTAGGAAGGCCAGGACGGACTGGTGGAATACCATCAGGGAGACAAGCACCATGACACCTGTGGAAGACACAGCAAATTGTTGGTCTCTAGCAACCTCTACTACAATCAAGAAATATCTCATACACTCATACACTAAAAACCCTGTTTGTTCCAAATGTTCCCCGGTGTGTTGTTGCCTATACTGACCTGACAGAATAAAGCAGACGGACGCTGGCTTGAGGAAGAATATGATCTCTTTACTGAGAGACATGGTGATGCAAATGGCACCCATCACCATCAGGAACAGGCTGAACAGGGCCAACATGGCTGCCACCACATTCAGATCTGCACGAGGAAGGAGAACAGTGCTGTTTACATACACTTTAATATTCACTATAATAAGAGCACCTGTTGATTTTGGAACTGGACTTATCTGGGAAATCAAAGGGATTTAAGGTACATTTGATAGATTTTCATATTTAACAGGGCAACAAGTTATCACACCCAAGCCTGGAATACCCACACCAGTCCAATGTCACGTTTTCAACACGTTCTCATTCTGCAGTCAAGTTACCAATAATAAATATGTAACATCCAGTTACACTTTCAAAATAAAGCTTTCTGAGGTCACATTTTGGTGTACTTTTCACGTGTAGGCGAGGCAAAGCGCGACACTGACACGGGAACCTCTAATGGATCAGCAGGTCTATTACGTTACGTTTTGTTGTGAGATTGGGCTGATAGGACTGATCATTACATTCCATAGGTATTATACAGATAGTATAGATACTAGTTTTTAGAAAGCCTGAAATTTCTCAAAACTTCAGAAAATCCACTTAAGTTGCATCCTCAGGTTTTCCTGTAACTCAATTCAACATCAACTGTCAACACATTTCATTGGCCAATCAAATATGCGTGAGTGCATGTTCCTTTCATTACTTTGTAGGACAAAAACATTAAGATATTTTAACAGATTAAGAGTTTATTAGTAAAGTAGTTGTCAAAGCACTGGGAATTGTTTTGGCTTCTGATAAGCCTGCAAACTCTTGGATATCCAATCAGATCTACTTAAACTGGGCTTTGTGGATTGTATTTCATCTTTTAATTTCCCCTTATTTCCAGACAGTGTTTCAGTCTGAAAGTATCAGGTGATACCTCCCAAATCTCAGCAATCAGCTTGTTTGACCGTGGTCATCAAAAAGCTGACTAATTGATTTGACTCTGGAATGGAACTGGACCCAGAAAGATTAAATCTAAAATCTAGTAGTATAAAAGAAAACAGCCATCATTCGTGAATGACATGCACATTTATACGCTCAGAGTTTAGGCTCATAAAATCAGCTTTATAATTGATCATGTGACATTGTTTTTTTGTGTTTGGTCAGGTTTTTGAGAAGGTCATCCTCAAGAAATTTTGGAAGATCCCTCCATTGGAAGATCCTGAAAACTAAGCCAAGAGCTACCCGAGCTTTAATAAGTAATTTGATCGTAAAAGAAGATTTACATGAAGTAAGACTTTGGTGATCTCAAATCACAACAAGTAATGCTAGTACAGCATATTATAAACTCATAGCTACATTTATTAAATCACTACATTGAGGCCTGTAGCGTGACAGTGATGTGGCACAAGTGAACAATGAGATTTTAATGTACGTCTGTCTCTCTTAACTCAGCTTATGGCACTGTGTGATCTTATTACATTATGGAGCTGCCAGTGAAATGAGAGGTTAGACGGCAGCTCGGAGACACTTGAACGCAGCGTAGGCGGAATAGATTTCAAACACTCACAGAGCAGACAATGGCCAACCTGAAAGAGTGCGGCGAGGAGGTGAGGGGAGACATGGAGAAAAAGAAAGGATGGAGAGAGAGAGAGAAGGATGGATCGTAGGGGGAGATGACAGACAGAGGACTGAAGAAAAGAGAAAGAGCGTAAGAGAAAGATGAAAGGGCAAAGAGGGCACAGGGGAGAGAGGGAGGCAGCGAGAGGGAGAGGTGGAGAAGAATAAAAGGGATAAAGAGAGGAGAGAGTGGGTGGAAAAGGTGGGACAGCGGTTGAGAGAGGCCAGGAGAGCCGAAAGAGGTGTGTGACTCACTCTTCCTCGTTGTCTTCTGAAACAGCACAGCATTTTCCCCCGTGGTGAAAAACTTGAAGTAGGTGCAGTTTGATTCTGCAGGAGCAAAAAAGAGGAAGAGAAACAGCTACTGTAAATGACAGAAACACAAACACTGACAGGTAATCTGCTGTGGTTGCAGACAATCTTGATGAACATCTTATTGAAATTCAAGGAGCCACGTCTTTCTCAGCCCTGCACACTTTAAATAATTCCCCATCAAACATAATCAGCCATGAACGTCAATGACAAGCTCAAGGTGACAATCCAATGCATCCTGCACAATTACCATTCCTCCGTCCTGATGATGTGTTACAGTAATTAGAGTTTGGCCGTCAAATAGAATGTGACACCTCTATCTGTTCCCTCGCACATTTGTGCACACATGCAAGCAAAACACGCACACACATCACTCTTAATTAGTGTGATCAAAGCCAAATCCTCAGAGTGTTCTGGGTTGTGTTTTTTTCCCGCCAACAGTAAAGAGCTGCACTCAAATCCCATTGACAAAATTCAAATCCCCTCACAAATAAAGGTTGACCTGCCACCTGGCTCTGCAACCAGCCAAGCAGACAGTAATTGGACTTTCCTCTCACTGACTACAGAACATGTGAACACCTTTATCCATTAAGGAAGACATGGTTCATGTCGTTCTATCATGGTTGTCTGGCTCAAATAACATGAATAGTCTGAGGATGGGTCACTTGAGACAACAATGTAGGTTGAATTCACACCAATGCCACACTCAATAAAGTTACCACCATGCTGTGTATGAATGTCCAGTGACTACATGTAGATGATGTCATTCTATACTATAATCAGGTCAGAAGAGAAGCCTTTGTATATCTTGTGTTTCCTGACTGTTTTTCACTTTTTATTTTCAGCAGTTTATTTATGAAATGACGGTGTGAAACAATACAAGGAAACATCATGCACGGTATACTTTTCAACCAACAAAAGTACACAACTTAAAACTACACACAAACAAACACATGTTAACCCAAAAATGCTAAATATCAAACCGGTTGTATATGGAAGTTAAACAGAGATAAATAGGTACATAAACAAATGAAACTTTGATTAAAAAAAGGTATTAGCAAAAATACCCAGTGGGTTAATATTGATATACATTTTAGTGACATCTGACTTTGGGTCCACAGTGTTTATAAATTAGGGGTGTGTAGTTTGAAATTACCAATACTGCATGTTTGCACCAAAAAGAGAAACCACGTATTATTCTGTATTTGCTGGATAAATAAAATAAAATCTTCTTCAAAGTTTCTGTAGTTCCAATTTATTACAAGCTTAAATGAAGCTAATGTATGTTCATAAACACAGTGATACTTTACTTTTGAGGAGAAGCTCTAATCCAACCATGCAAACAAAATCCATTAAATGTAGGCCATTGTGTAGGCAAAAAACACAGAAATGTAATATCTCCTGTATGTTTTAAAAAGTCCCGAGGCACACTGCAACCCCATTAACCACTAAGCCAGTAGTTCTGTGTAACTATCTGTCTTCCTTTTGATGAAAATCAAACAGGTATGCTGTCTGACACCGATGACGAACACACACAGAGCTCCTGGTGGACTTTTCTCAGTCTGTCTCTGTTTTGCTTTTTATGTGAGTCATTCTTCAAAAGGGGAGTTCATACAGGTGAGTCATGGAAAAAGGGAGCGATACTGCAAATAGCTTTTATAATCTTTTGCCACACTCGACTAGTCCACTGTTAGACGGCCGTACTCAATTTCACCCCACAGTACATTATTTCTGCTATTCTTGCACCGGTAATAAGAAACTTTAACAACCTCTAACTGGAATAGATGGTGTACACTAGGAGCACTGGGTTAATGAAAATACTCTATACTTTGATTCAATTCCCATACTAACAATCTTAAAGCCACATCACACAGGGTTTCTTTAAATGATTTAGTTTATTTAGTTGTTCATTAATATATAAATATATTTTTCTATACTAGTCTAGTATATATTTATTTGGCCCGTGACATGCCAAAAGACGCCTGTTGCTAGTATTCTCCAACGGTTTTCAAGGATTAACTTCCAGTTAAGGCAGCGCCATGTAAAGACAGTTTTGTTGAGCTCCCTGCACAGGGATTACTAATTTTGCCATATTGCTCTTTTTAAGTTACATCAATAAATCCCACGCCTTTGGATAACCCTTATCCTTCTGTGGAAAAATGCAGAAAAAACTCCAAGGAAGCAAAAAGTTGGAGTCAGAGACCAACGCTCCTGAAGCTAATGCTAATGCTTCCCTAGTGGAAGACCTAAACAATACGCCAGACAACCAACTAGCAGTGCTGCAGGACATTGAGTCTCAAGAACAAGACAATGTTGGATGAAAATATATGTTATTTTGGGAGTCATTCGCAATCAACCTATTCAGTCGTTTAGGTACCTGTTGTTTAGTAAAGTATGTATTTAGTCTACTGCTGTATTGGCAAGTTCTCCCTTGCATGGGTGGTTTCTGTCCTTGGTGGGACTTTGAAATTAACAAATACATAAATGAGGACTTCCAAAATCCAAATGATGTGTCCCTTCACTTGACCCAAAGCAGCTTGTGTACGTACTCTTTCACTCAGACTATGTAACAATGACTCAGGCCGTTAGTCAGCTGAAGCATTCATCCAGCCAGCCATCAATCCGTGAGCCAAGCATCATTTGTCTAGCCAGAAAGTCAGGTAGACCACTCATTCATGCTAACTCTCTCCTTCAAACTGAGCTGTCCAATAAGCTTTGACAAACATCTAGTCAGCCAGCTGGTCTGTCAATCATCATCTTAAAAAACTCCCTCCCTCACACAGACCAGTCAAACATCATCAAAGTTAGACAGCCATCCACCCAACCAGTCGGTAAATCTTTGAGTCACCTCCGGGTAGTTCAGCGGGTCCGCAGCTCTCTCTCTCTGGGTCGATATCAGCCACCCACAGGGTCTTGGTGCAGCCCTTCCACAGGCCGTAGTGAGCCGTCAGACAGGTCTGCAAAACGAAGATCAAAGAGGGCTTTTAGGGACAAGACTAGCAGTAATATTATTTTTCCATCCATCACAGGGTTTTGCTTTAGAAATCAAACAGTGGTTCATTTCTAACCAAAAATTACTGTTTATGTTTTATGTACTGCAGAAAACATCCATGGACAAATTAATAATTCTGAATGTGTCTGTGGAAATAAAGTAAGTTATGAACAAAAATTTACATTAATTGCATATTCAAGTGATTCACCTGGTTGTTATAGAAACTCTTCGGAGGTGCCAGCTCCACCCAGAACTCTGTACCCACCCCAAGGACTGTCAGGACTACGCCCACAATGGCTACAAAGAATGCCAACTTGATCTGGTGACAGAACACAACACAGTACAGCTTCAACAACAACAGTGACTTGAAAGACATTTTGCAATACTGAATTAAAGAGTAATTTAAAAGCTATTACTTCTATCCGCAACCATTTATTGTCTGTATTCCTGCCATTTACGGTAAAGGTCCAGTTACAATGTCTTCTTTTAGCTCACTTATCCTTCTATCTCATGGCCTTTTCTATCTAAACTACTATATCATTTATTTCATCTTATGTTATATCTCATGTTTTGCACCTGACCTTGCATTTCTTTTTATTGTAAAGCACTTTGTAACTTGGTTTTGAAAGGTCCTACATAAGTGAAATTATTATTATTATTTAGCCTGTGCCTTTTCAACTGCAATAGAGTTTGTACAGCTTGTGATTCCATTTGCCATATTCAGGTTGTTTATTTGTCTGGGTTTAGTGTCTAACAGGCGTCCTCTCTCAGTAGGTAGCTAAAGTCTGCTGCTAGCTGTGTAACTTTGGCAGTTCATGAGAGATATGTCCTTGGCATGCTGTTAAGCTCAAATGCAGCTCATTCATGGCAATATGTTCTGTGTATTTTGTGTGACTTCCTCCTTTTACAATGTGTAACGAGTGGATGTAGTGCATTTTACTGTGCTAATTTGGTCATATAACTTTAAATAGTGCACTCAGCTGTTAAGCTATGGCACTAAAATAGCTTGTATAACTAACATAATTTTATATTCTTTTCCTATTCAGACTATGGCAGTATAGAAAATGACTGATCCTCTGATCCTCCACTCAACACAATATAGAATGAAGGGGCTGCTTACTTTAACTAGCCAGTTTCAGAGGTGTTTAGCTGAGCTCAGTTAAATTATACATTGGCAGGTACTTAAGTGCTTTTTTTATTCATTTTTTTAGTCATTCTGCGATTCCTACCCACAAATCATAGTGTGCTAATGTTAAAGTCTGAAATTATAAATCACAAATAAATTGCTGGGAAGAACAAGTTCAAATGCACATTAGCACCTCGTCTAGCTTTTTATTACCAAGGCTGAACATGGGGATTTCTGTTTCCGTCACATGTAGATTTTAGATAAATTTACTTATTAGTGCAATAGAACATGTTACAAAGGTAAAACAAATGGCAAATTAGAAAGTATATACAGACATAACTGCAACAAGTATCTCTGCATGTTGTTTTTAATGTCCTCAACAGATGAAATATTAACCATCAGGGAGGTAGATGAAATATGTGGGTGATAGGGGATAGAATTATTTCACGATGGTAATCAATTTGTGGGTATATGTCAGAAAGTGATGAAACTGAACTGGCTGCATTATCTTTAAGCAATGATATCCCCAATCTGTCAATTAATATGATTAATTTGGTTACATAACATTTTATCTTCTTAATGTCAGAAAACTGTGTTTGATCTTTTGCAAATACTTGTTTTCTAACATTAGAAGTCATCTGCTCTTATGGGGTTTTTCTTGCTCTGTGGAACAGCCTGATGTCAGTTGAAAAAGCAGCTGTGTGATTGATTGGTTCCATTAGTTCCAGAGTACTTTCATACAGCCTGAGGGAGAACACACATTCACACAATATGAAATCAGTCACCTTTCCTTCCTGGGCCTCACTCATGGCGTGTCCTGTTGATGTCGCCCTGCGGCGCTTGTTCCCACCAAACGTACTGCGTCCAGTCATCAGGTTGGCCAGACCTCCCGCACCTTGGGGTGCTACTCCTGGAGCAACCCCTCCCACTGTTCCTGCCGCCGCCGGGCACACCGTGCGGCCCTCCTCATCAGTCACCAAAAAGGTAGACCACATGTTGTGACACAGTAGAAAACAACTAAGACAGCCTAGTGGGATTCAGTTTGGCAGCCGAGCTTGCTTTGAGTTTTCCCCTTTGACAGTGATGGTCGAATTTTAGCAAGGGAAAAATTGAAGACAGGAACAAAAACAAAGGAAAACTGTTGTGTATTCTCAGTTTGTGCCCACAAACAATTAGGAAAAAAGAGAGTGAAGTAAAATAATGTCCAATAGGTGTATCTGATAGAAAGGAAGGGGAAGGCACACAGAGGTAGAAAGATAAACTGAAAAAAAATGACAAAAAAGTTTAAACCCAAAAGTTCTCCTTGGTGTTGGAAACCAAACATACGTCTCTATAACATTAGCAGGAAAACGCAGGAATCAGCCTTCTCTTGAGAAAAAGCCTCAGAAAAAATGGAGGTGTTGATGACAGATGCACAACTGATAAATTAATCATCCTGAAAAAAAGAAAATGCCAGAAAACATGTGTCGAAAATGTCGCTTAGAGTCTGTAGAGGTAAAAGTCAGGAGTGGATGAAGTGATGCTTCCTAGAGATGAGAATGGAAGGAGAAAAGAAAGAAGGAGAAAGTAAAAGTAACTAACCATTTACATACATAATCACCTAAAATTGAGATCCTGGTCTTTTGATCACATAATGTCACTCACAGTTTATTAAGAACAAATGTATTCGGAGGAATGATGCAGGCATGGAAATTGCTGCATATTGTACATTTCATGATACAAACATAACCCTAATGCTAGCAGTATTGTGCTATAATGCATGACATGCATGTTTGACCAGGCAAATAGGGTTTTCTGGGATTCATTGCTGCCCAAATTATAAATTAACAATGACCAAAACTGCCAGTAACTTCAAAAGTTAAAAGTTAAAAGCACTGTTTCCTCTGTAATTGTGCTGTGTGAACACAAACAAGTCTACTATAGTGTGTGAAGACGAGAGAAATAAAAAAAAAAACTGGGGAGAAAAAAAAGAACTGGTGAGAGCTCCCTCCAGTCACATATGATTATCTGTGCTGTCTGTTGTACTTTTTCCATTAGGACAGAAAAGCAATATAAAAACACTTAGCATAGTGAAATCACAATCACTTATCTATTTTGAGATGTTATGTGACAGCAAACACTTAGAAAAAACACTCATCATACTGGAATCATAACCTGCGATCTATTCTGAGACGCTTTGTGGTATACCTCGGCGGCACAAAAACACTCATCATGTCTGAGCCATAACCAATTATCTATTCGGAGAAGCTCTGAGATGGAGAAGTCACGCAGATACGCTGCCGATGAATTGAATCTTAAACCCTTTATGTCTGTAGGGTGAATGAAACAGCTGTCCTGTCGCGTTCCACCAGGATGTGGTGACAACAGACATGACATGCAGCCCTCCCTCTTGTTAGCAAAAATGAAACACATCCCCCGGGGAGAACACATAACTTTACTTTCACATCACCGTCTGTCTAGTTAACAAGCTAGCAAGCTACAGAGCGTAGGTTTAGAGTTGTTTTCCACCAAATCTCTTCGTGAGACACAGGTAATAATACAAAACAGCACAGTACAGTACATCACATATATATATTTTTTCTTACACAAATACATTTTCACGCATACATTTATCTCATCCATCTATCCTGTTATTAATCCACATCGCACATCAGTTAGTGATTCTGAGTGGAGACATGCAGTTGTGTTCTTTGAAAATATTTAAATAAATAGAAGAAGATCACATTTCTATTGCATTTGGTAAATTATTGAATAAATCTTGAAATTAGTTAGATTTTCAGATAAACTGAAATAATTAGATTTTACTAACGATAATTAATAAATTGACCATTCTAAACAAGCAATTGCTAATCTAAATTAGCACCATCACACCATCATTCCAGTACAAATATTAAACATAACTCAATAACTGATCTTCTGATACAACAGATATTAGGATTTTATCATTACTAGAAGGTATTGGTAGGTATTGTGCATCTTGCTCAAAGGCACTTTGGCAGACGCACGCCTTAGATGCAGCTATTTTTCTTTTTTCTTTTCTTTTCTGTCATTATATGTTTATTTATTTATTTATTTTGATTTATCGTATCAGTTATCTCAGGGAGAAAGTATATTTCTACCTCAAAATAGAGTGCATTTAATTTGTCAAAGTCGCAGTGATGAACATTGGTCATTACGGGCTTGCATACATAAAACCACAAGCAAAGAAGACAACAACAAAACAAGATTCAAATCAGGTATTACAGAACAAGTTAGTTTAATATTAGTGATCAAGATCAAGAAAATCAGCTGGTACAAAGTTTTAGTTAAGAATGTTAAATAAATTAATCTCTGCTCTCCTTACTCGTCAAGGCTCTCCTTATACGGAATCCAGTTGGACACACTGGAAAAGTAGCATTGAAGCACGAGGAAGAAACTCATTACAGAGGCTGTGACCCGCGACAAACACCCTTTAACAAGTTCACTCTCCTAAAATATCCTTCTTACTCTCTCCAAAAATAAGCCCACATGGAATCGGCACTGAGGAGAAAGTTCCTGACTTATATCGTGCAAACGGCAAACTCGACTCCATAAACACTCTATACAGGCAACGTTTGAAGAAGAAGCCAGTTCAGCTTTATTTCACCCACCAGCCCACCCCCCCTTAAACAGTTCAGCAGCCAAAACATATCATGCTGAAATTAGACACATTAGTTTTATTTTTTCACTCTTTAACACGTGCTGCACGCGTGCTTCACAACGCTCGCCGCCACCTCACAAATATCACAACAATGATATTAACAAGTTGCTGACCTGGTTTTTGTGTGTGTGCTTCTGTTCGGAGTGACAGAGGGCGAGGAGAGGAGAGAGAGTGACTGAGGGAGGGAGAGAGGTGGATGGGTGAGGGAGGGGAAAAAGGGGCGGAGGTCAAAGTGGGAGTGGGTGTTACGTGTGTGGGAGGATGGGGGTTATAAGACTGTGCATGTGTGTGGAGGTGAAAAACAGCATCAGCTAAATGCCTGTGTGTGTGTGTGTGCCTATATTTGTGTTTTGTGTGTGAACGGTGTGTGTGTACCTGTGCACATGTACATGTAGGGTTATATATCTTTGTGTGTGTGTGAGCGTCTGTGTGTGTGCAAGTGTGCATGTATGTGTGTGTGTGTACATGCCTGCGTATTAGCTTGCAGGCCTTCATATCTGTGTGTGTTCCCTGAGCCAAATGCCTAAAATGTGTGTGTGGGTGTGTGTGTGTGTGAGAGAGAGAGAGAGCGAGAGAGAGAGAGATGCAGTCACACTGCAGCTTCTGTAAATGAATCTGTTTGTTTATGCTAACGTGGACAGTTGCTGCTGGACAAGTCTCTCAGCTTTAAAATGTACTTGTGTGGAAATGTGTCACAGCACACACACGTACACACAACCCCAGCTCCTTAACTGTGGTGTGTATGTGTATGTTATGCCTCCCTCCAATCTATTTTTGCCCCCCACCTGTTAATGACATTAAAGCCGACCCAGGGGAAAGGGCTGCAGCAGGGGGCTTGTGTCAGCTCGACCCTGGCTGTGAGATCATGTCTGTGGGCAACGCTACGATCCCGCTGATTGAAGAGGGAATTGTAGATTCAACACCTCGACAACAAGTAACGTTGCCGGTTGGCTCACATGATCGGATGTTGGAGCCGTGAGGTCGAAATGAACCGGACAGTGAATACCTCACACCCCACTGCCTGCTGACACGTGCTATGCAGCAGTTAAACAACAGTTTGTTTGTACTAACAGACATTTTTAGGTCTTTAAAAAAGGGTTGTAACAGTCTATAAAATCATTTTAAAATGTTTATGGGTTCATAGTGTTGTGCTTTCATCTTATCTTGGGTTGGATTTTGTCAGAGAGGAAACTCATTTCATCACCCTTTTGTTGTGATGCAACTGCATGACTTGAATAAGCCATTTTGAGCTGCCCCCCAGTGCGGTGTCCCATTGGTTAAAAAAAAAAAAAGGTAGGGGCAGGGGTGCAGGTCCAGTCGGGTTGCCAGCCAATCACTGTAGTAGTTTTTGAACAGCATGTTTCTTTAGAGCTGGGTTTGGAGCAACTAAACAAAACAAACTGCTACTTCCAATATCAGGAATGAACCACCTTCATTATGTATTAGCACAAGTACATGAGAGGCACTTTCACGCCTTTTGCACTTTGATAGTGCAGAACTGTGTTAATGAACACACCTTGGTGATATAAGTCATGATGACACTCCACACACCAGAGGTATCTTCAGCTTCCTCTGGTCTGTCAGAGAGAAGATTAGCAGTCATAGACACTTCCCAGTGTGATGATGCAGCCTAATGAAGGTGGTATGTATGTGCAGTCGTCTGTGGTACAATAAATTGTTTCATATTAGAAGAAGAAGGACCACCCGTTGCAACAAAATATATACATATATA